AAACCGCTTCTAAATTCACTTCCTCTGCCCCTCTGCTCCAGTTCAATCTATTCTTGAAGCATTAAGATCAAGATGGTCAATATTCAAAAATCAGAATCCCCTACTTCATAAATGACTCCTCCTCGCGGAAAACTAGCTTTGATGATTCTTAGGGTGAAACAATATGCGCATTCGGAGAGAGATGAAAGAAACGCTTTTCAACGAGTTTCGGAGCAAACCTTAAGCCACAATAGGAAGACAAAGAGATTTAGGAATGCCCAATCTAGTTCCCTGCGGCTCAGTAAAGCCAGCAGGATCTAGCTTTTTTGGCCGAGGAAGTGCTTGTGGTCGCATGATAATATGTTTGCGGATTTTTATACTGGAGGCCCCCTGAACCGGCGATTTCTGAAAATGGTTCAGTTCGTGACTTTCCGCGTGTGGCATGTGCTCGCGACGGAAGAGCGAGTGCTGATTCGACGATTGCAAAGGGAGCTATGTTAAAGGGACACCGATACCCCCCCCCCCCCCCAAACTTTTTTTTTCTTTTCATTTTTTGTCAGGCGATCTATTATGGTTGTCGGAATACTACCCAAATAATATTTTGCAACAGAGTAACGTATTTATTCATTAAAGCAAAAAAGAAAAAAAAAAACAAGCCAACTGCTCGAAACCAAAACCGAAACTGCCGCACCGCACGAAGAAGTGGAGAGGATGGAGTGGAGTGGCGGAAGTGACGTGGCTACATCCGGCCGTGTGGGTCTTTTTTTTTTCTCTCCTTACGTAGCAGACGAAATGCGTTCGTTCGCCGTGCAATTCCTTTGCAATTATGTTTGTTCCGCTCGCTGTTTTGTACTTCAAGATCAGCTGTTGTGCACATTTAAGTGTTGGCAATTGATAGTCAGTGCCCAAGTGCCGTGGTGAATTCCTGTGATCGGCTCCGAAAAAAATACTCCCAACATGTTGCGTGAAGATTTGCCTCACATGACTTGCATCTAAAAGTGGCATTGTGCGTCAGAGTGCACATGTTTCCGAAAGATCAACGGGTCGGGATCAATGGCTGGCTGCAATTCCTGTAGAACAGTTACGCGAAGCTCGGAAAGCGGACGCTACTCGATTCATATGCTCCTTGCATGTTGTGGAAAGTGACTGCATTAAGTTCGCAGGTGTCAAAAATGGAATCCCATGCCATTTAACTCACCGACGTATCGGCCACAAAAATTTTTGTTTTTTTGTTTTTTTCAGTGATCATTGTAAAAAAATAAATGTAAACATCGCAAAACTTCTGACAAAAAACGAAAAGTACACCCCCACCAGGGATCGAACGCGTGGGAAGCGGACGTGGCGTGGGAAGCGGACGTGGCGTGGGAAGCGGACGTCTTTCCACTGAGCTACTGAAGAAACATTTTTTTAACCTTTATTAGAGCTACTGAAGGAACTCAATCACGCATAGTAATGCGGCGTGTAGACTGTATGTCGGAAGTTTGCTGCCGAGTTCCCTTAATACATGCACTCCCGGCTTGAAGTCGGGTAGCACCACGCATATGCCACATTCGCACCTCGTGAAGAAACAGTACGTGTGCGTATTCAACTCGAAGTACTCACTTCGTGCTTGACGTTTGAGCGAGCGTTGTCTTCAGCCACGAGAAGGGACGACGCCTCGGCGACGTCTTCGTGCAATCGGCTTCCTGGTCGGGCGTGCCGTACGGGATGAATACCACTTCTTTCGAGCGGTCCGAAATTTCTCTTTCGAAGGAAGACAGAATCCTCCGGTACCTTGAACGACAGTTCTAAAGTAGAGGTCCAACGCCCGTCGTCCGCTGCCATCCGCTAGCCCCACAATACGCGAAACGACGCGATGTTGAGAATTATGTAGTTAACGCACAGAATGCTTCCGGTTGTTTGTGCTACTGGTTTTTCAATCAACGTATTTGCAGCTTTTTGGAAGCCACAAAAAATTTGTTTGATATATATATATTTTTTTTTTAATATTGACTCTGTACCTTGAATGACCCACGACTTTAATTAAATTTGGTGGTCGCGTCGAAACCTTAGAAAACCGTCCCTGACCACGGAAAAGAGAGTGAGCGCGACTCAAACCGGCCAGTTCTCGATCGGCGGTTTTCGGGAGGAAAGAAACCGAATTTGGAGCTGCAAATTGTGTTCTGGGTAGTTGGGCTATCATATATACAACTAAAAACCTTGGCGAGCATAAATACCCTGTCAGTGTCCATTTAAAGGACTTTTATGCTGGCCGTGTGAATGGCGTAGTACAGTAGCTTATTGACGTGATATGTAGTTTAACTAGGTGTTCAATATTTCGTGAAGCCTGGATAAAAACTTGCACGAGGGAATCGACACTGATTGGTTGATGGGTGGGAGAGGAGGAGTGAGGTGGGTGGGGAGGAGATCGAGACCTCGTGTGTACTGAGGGAGAGGGGCTCCAGGGTATGAAATACTCTGGAAGATCGCCCGAGTTATTACCTTGAGAAGCGTTAGTATCGCTTCAGTCTACACTCTACAATCCGTTCTTGAAAAATTCTTTGACACCCCTGGAACCCCTTCAGCTCGTGAAGAACGCTTTCGCCCCAAACACTATCGCCCTTTGGCGCACTAGTAAATGCAAGTGGGTGATGAAGACGCCTTTCGCATTAAAGTGTACTTAAAAAAGCCCCTAAGTTTTTTTCTCACAGTGGACATTTTCGGGGGTGCTTAAAATGACTTTTTTAGGATGCAAGATATGGGTAAGCCGAGAACGCCTAGGAGTTCTTTTAGGAGCAGATTTTTTTAGAGTGTTGTAATCACTTTATAGTGGACACATGGAACGTGTTAAGCTTGCTGATGAAGAGCGCTGTGAATGTATGTGTTTGGCGTCTGGAAACTGAGAATATTGCTAAATGTTTGTGATGCTGCAACGTATGCTACATAATTGCCTAGCAATTAGCAATAGAACTTTAGTGGATGCAGTCGCTACATATTTATGCTTATATCAATACCAAATTAAGGCAACTGGAACGGACGTGGAAACAGCGCCAAGTTTCTTCTTGGCTCACGCTTGCGCGATCGGCGTCTTGCGCCGTGTACATTCTTTGCTTCCGTATGCGCACAGGAACACAAATGCTGACATTCTTAAGCTTTTCAGTGTATTCTAACACTCTTTTTAACATTTCCGATAAAAATAACTGTAACAGTCTTGGTATCGACGCTAAATGCTAAAACTACTGGTTTTTGATAATTAAAAACCGAGCGTGTTAGTAAAGTTCGATTTTACACGCGAGAGGGTAAACAAATATGACGGAGCACGGAAAACGACACTTTTCGACTGGTTAGTCGAAAGATGTGTGTTGTGTGCTTCGTTTTATTTGTTGAATATTTCGTGGGCAAAATTGAATTGTGTCAAACGGACCACTTAGTTCCCATATCATGTCATTCACGACGTAGGTAAAAGAAATTGGCAAAAATCTGGCGAATGTAAAACTCCTTAAATTAAAGGCCAAACGGACAAACACGAAATAAGTAAATGAAACAAAAATAAATATCACTGAAGTCGTACAGGTCACACTGGAACGTAATTGCGAGTTTATTTCTCGACGTAATACATTCTTGTAACGAATTACTTACTGTGCGCTAGCAACAATAAATGTATTCAACTACCTCTAGATCAAAGTAGTTGTCTTAGTAATTAAATAACATTCCCAAAGTAATAGTTTGAAGATGTAATTTCCGAAGTATAGAGCGTGCGGTAGCACAACGCTTCAACTGCAATATAACCCCAGCATTGATTTGTTTTTGTCGCAAACTACTAGAAATAAGTCTTAGGGATTGACCTAAAATCTTAAGCTTGGGGAAAGAGCATAGGGAGAGTAAAAGCTATTCAAATAAAGGCAGATTTCAAATTTCCGTCTAAATCAAAGACGGTGATGGCTAAATGGTGCACTAGTTTGTTTTGCTTTAAAACAGGAAGTATGTTACTTCCTTTCTTTCCATGTAATCAATCGCGGTAATCAGGGGCGCACGATTATTTTACTGTGAATTTGCACGTATCCCTTCTCCGCGTGCAGACGACGCGTCGGTTTTCAGATTGATGCACCTTATTTTTTCATGTTTTATTTAGTGTGTTTCAAACATTTATTCTTTTAATTCAGATAAAGGTAAAATGAAGGACGAGTGGTACAACCCAAATTCTTATCGCTCGACAATTTCTCTCTTAAGACGCAAAAAATCCTCCGGCTGGAAAAAAAAAAAGAAAAGAAAAGGCAGTTTGTTGCAGGAATGTTAACTTCCGAAACGCCCACATCTCCGTCAACGCCCTCGGCGTTGAGAGAGATGTGGCCGGTTTGGAAGAAAAATTCAGGAGATGGCAGAGGCCTTGCGGTGTGATATTTTTTATGGTTAAAAGTCAGCGGTGCGGTGCCAGCTCAAGTCTTTTCTGGGGTTCGTCACCTATTACGCCAAATTTTTGCCCAACTTGTCAACCACCTTGGCCCCTTTGTATAGATTATTGGCAAAAGGAGCGCAATGGCAGTGGGACGGGGATCAGGAAATGGCTTTCCGGAAGACTAAGCAGGCTATGGCCGAAGCTAAGTTCCTGGTTCACTACAACCCCCGGCAACAGTTACGGCTAGAATGCGACGCGTCGCCAGACGGCTTGGGTGCAGTGTTGTCACATCGCATGCATGGGAAAGACTACCCCATAGCGTTCCGGTCGAGAACGCTGACGAAGGCAGAGCGTAATTATTCACAGCTCGAGAAGGAGGCGTTGGCGCTGGTTTTTGGAGTTACCAAGTTTCGAGATTATCTGTTCGGCAACCGCTTTACGCTCGTCACAGACCACAAGCCGCTGACAGCGCTGTTCCACCCTGAAAGAGCAATTCCACAAATGGCGGCGGCTAGAGTACAGCGTTGGGCGTTACTACTCGCAGCCTACCAGTACGATCTCGAGTACCGAAAAGGAGACCACAATGGGAATGCAGACGCTCTTAGTCGTCTCCCTTTGCCGGCGCAGGTGGAGGGCAGCAGTGAAGTGCTCTCTGAATATGTGCTGTACACGCGGGGGTGGGACGACCAACCTATGTCCGCCCAGCAGATGGCCACCATGACTACGCGGGACAGCCTGCTTCGCCAAGTAAAAGCCTGGATTTACGCCGGATGGCCGTCGCACCTGCGCCCGGAGCAGCACCAGTTCCTACCGTACTTCAGCCGCAGGTATGAACTCACAGTGAGCCACGACCTGGTTTACTGGGGGCATCGCGTAGTTCAACCGGAAGCTGCGCGAGCGTTCATGCTGACGGAACTGCATGATACCCACCCGGGAACGACTGCGATGAAGCGTCTGGCTCGCTCCCTCTATTGGTATCCTGGTCTAGACAAAGATATTGAAAAGCTGGTAAATAACAGCTCGACATGTATACAGTGTTGGACGATGCCTGCGGCACAGGTTCCTTCCAAGTGGCCGGAGACCCATCAACGGTGGTCCCGTTTGCACTTGGACTTCGCGGGGCCACTGGAAGGGTACATGGTTCTAGTACTAGTGGACTCGGAAACAAAGTGGATTGAAGCCATACCACTCAAAACAGCTTCGGCCGAGACTACCATTGGACTGCTCCGAGAACTGTTTGCGCGTTTCGGAGTGCCACGAACAGTGGTTTCCGATAATGGGCCGCAATTTTCAAGTGCAGCGATGGCACGATTTTTACAAGGGAACCATATACGTCATTTCACCACTGCGCCCTACCACCCTCAGTCGAACGGGTTAGCCGAACGGGCAGTACGCACGATCAAGGAGGGGCTAAAGAAGAACAGGGAAGGCTCGTTGCAAGATCGTATTTCCAGGTTCTTGTGTCGTTACAGATCTACCCCTATGAAAGAGGGCAAGTCGCCAGCCGAGTTGTTGTTAGGCTTCAGGCCCAGGACAAGGCTAACCGGCTTCTTCCCGAGGGGTGAGGAAGCGCAGCACAGCGTGGTCGAGCCGCAAGCCCCGGCCACGACACCACCGCCATTTTCGCCAGGAATGCCGGTCTGGTCACGCCAGTTCCAGCCGAGGCGGAGATGGCTACCGAGGACTGTGGTCTCCAGTGAGGGTCGGCGCATGGTCACGCTACGCACACCGGACGGCCAACAGAGACGGCACCTGGACCAGCTGCGACCTCGAGACGCTTCAGGGTCCCCGGAAGGTGCTGACAAGGCACGTCGAGTGGCCGGCCGGTCGGAGGTGGGAGCAAGCCCGCCCAGCACCGACGAAAGAGAGGTCGCCACCAACGGCGATCCCGAGGTGACGCCCACAGCAGACCCGGTTCCTCTCAGGCGCTCTACGCGCCTGCGGAAGCCGCCGGACCGTTTGAACTTATAGGGGGGAGGGGATGCTGTATCGCCGTACGGCTGCGTCACCGTAACCAGGAGCGGCGCGTTCCAGCGCATGCCCGTGCCGGACATACGTCACCGGCGCGGGAGGTAAAAAGAAAGCGCTTGCCAATAAACCACGTTTTCATGTCCCGGCCACCGGCGAGTCTGGTCGACGTTTCAGATACCATCTATGGACATTGCATTTGTATGGGGAATCGGTGTTCTCGATCTGGTTATTCGCTATGTTATTTATGCGCAACGCGATGATTGACTGTATATGTGTTCTATGGGAAAGTAGACGCAAGGGCCTTATTCATAAATAGTTCGGCTATTACACGAGTAAATGCGGTAGTTCATACGCCGTCACCGATCACATTTTATCTTGATCCGTATTAAAGTATCATTCGCCGAATAAAAAAAAGCTGCGGTGTGCAGAAGGGCGTAGCAAAATGCCGGAACAGCGTTACTAGGATGCCGCCATTTAAATGTTTACTCATCAACGCAGCAGCGAAGAGCAAAAACGAAACAAAAACAAAAAAATGAAAGACGTTTGCAACACTTTGTAACGCCGAATTAGACAGCAGCTCTTAAAGGGGCACTGACACTCCAAAGGTCGTATTTTTTTTATTGTCTAAAACGGTGCAAGTTTCAGTCATAGACACGCAAAAAAAAAAGTTTCCCGCGCGCGCGTCCCATTTTATTTTTGGCGTTTGATTCTCCCGCCTCTCGCCTTCTCGCTTCTTTTGATTCGTGACGTCAAGAATCATAAAATTTCGAAGCCTTGTAGGTGACATTTCTATAACATTTAATAACGGCAATCGTAAAGCATGTTTTTTAACGCAATTGCGAACGCACTACGGCCCTTTCTTTTTGAAATACCAAAAATCGGAGTCCGTTGTGGTGCCGTCTCCTGGATTTGTATCCTCCCACGGAAAACACGCGACGCCACTCAAAACCGGACCGCCGGCGCTCGCTTGCGCTCGCTCCTTTCCTCCTCGCTTTGGGTCGCGATGGCAACAGCAGGGAGTCGTGAAAGAAAGTGGACTCTCAGGACTCCGCAATATTTGACGTCAACGCACCGGCGCGGATCGCGCGGGAACTTCGAATTCGGCATTTGGAAATTGTTTTTTTTTACTTCACAAATACTGAATTCCCAAATTTCCAATTTTGAGGGTAATGTCCCGGCATAGTTTTCAATCGCTTCGGATAATAAAAAAAATATAATTTTCATGTGTCAGTGCCCCTTTAAGGAAGAGGAGGGTATAACTTTCCTCCCTCCTCTTTACCTCCTCATCCTCCCTACTACTCGTCCTCCTCGTCTCCTCCTCCTCCTTCCCCCCTCCCCCCCTCATCCTTCAAGCACCTCTCCTCCTTCTCCTCCCCCTACCCTCCCTTTCCTACTCCACCCAAAATCCTCGTCCTCCCCTCCTCCTCGTCCTCTCCCCCTCCTCCTCTTTCCTCCATGGGACATTTCCCATGAAAAATGCATGGGAAATCCTCCTCCTCCTCTTTCCATGGGAAATGTCCCATACCGCACCGCGCGGGACCCTCGTGACGTCACGAGTGTCCCGCGCGGTGCGTTATCGGACGTTTCCCTTAATGCACCGCACCGTTACGCCAACGGAGATGGCGACGCCACTTAAGCCGGAAACGGGCACCGAAGAGCTGCGTTCTAACAGAAGAACGAGGATTATCTCATGGGCAATAGGTGACCGGCGTTTGAGCCGGAAGTTTCGTCATCCGAAGCGAGACACCACGTGACTTCACGCTTCCGGTTCGTCCGGTGCCGGTTGCGGTTCGTCCAGCTGCATCGAGAGCTCTTCTAGGCGTGGTGGCCGTGCTGTATTCGCGGTGAAAATGGCTTACAGCTCCGCGGTACGTTGTTCTAACGCAAGCCATAGAGGGCATAAGATGTTCCAGCTCCCGTGTAACAAAGCATGGAAGCAACGATGGGCCGTCGCTGTTAAGCGAGTGAAAGAGCGAGATGACCTGTGACAGACAAACGTCGGTGACCGTTTATGCGCGGCCAATATTGTTACATGCCAGTACAACGTGTTCTCTCTTTCTTCGGGTAAGGCCCGCGGGAAATAACGATCTCTGACAGTCTTTTAGCAACCACCAAAAGCGTCTCGATTATTCCGCGAAGGGGTGAGCACTGCTTGTCGTACAAGGCATCTGCGAGAACGCGGGATGCAATCTCGCAGGCAATCAGTTCATGACACGACGTTTCATCAACATACAGTGCCATTACCAGGCCATTTAATCGTTACATCGACAGCTCGGATTAACATTTTCTGTGATGAGCCGCCGCAGACTGTTCCCGGGAAGCGGCGTGGATGGGTGGCTTGCTATAATATAAATAAACAAAAGGACAGGTCAGCTTTTTGTAATACAAAGAAACAAAAGCAAATGGGCAGCACCTTCATATTGACGGATAATAAAGCAGTAGTACGACCCCGCGTAGCTCATATCAAAATCGGTGCTCGTTTGTGCATGCTTTCTTACTCGACATCATTAAAAAAAACGCGCGGGAAGGGGGAAGGGGGGGGGGGGGGCGGAGGTTTATTGTAGTTCACGGGGGACAACTTAGTTGAAGTACCAAAAACGCGTGAGTGTTAAAAAGCAAAGATTGTCACGTAGTCAGATGTCGTCGAAACTAACTTTCGCACGGAAGTGGCGTTTTAATCGCGCGAGAATACATATTAGCTCAGTTTGAAACACCGTCTAAACGACTTCTTTCCCTGTCTTCAACTTTTGGTTGCCTGAAGATTTTCTTACCCAGACTCAGCTGCTCTAACAAAATGAGAAAAGTACGCCAGACCTCCGATCGAACATTTCAGCTGGCCGCGTTCCACGGCTTACCATTCGCGCCTATTTCGGTCGGTGATGTGATCTAACGTAACCATCAAAAATAAACAGAACCCAAATGAAGAACGCTGGCTCAAAAGGAAAACGAAACATCCAACCCGAGTTTTCATGCGAAGATCCGGAAAGCACTGTGCGAGTGCAGCTTGCCGCCGGCCGCACTCGCTCTGCGCTTTCGTGGCCGTTCTCGATGCTTCTGCGTACCGATTAGTACTTAAGTTATCTGTAGAAGTAACTTGAGACGTTCAGAAGTGTGTAAGTCACCCAGCAGCAGAGGAAGGTGGCCCGGATTGATCGGGTTTCAACACCCGCACACGCTTCCGCAGCCGTCATGGGGCTGCGTCGGCTGCTAGCTACGAACCGGAAGTGAATATTACCCAGAGTTCTTTGAGGCTGCTGCCAAACGCCGGTCACCTATTAGGCGGCTATATAAACCAGGGTTTAGGAGATGGAGCTTTTTTCTAGAACAGTTTGCGTTTGAAATCTTAAATACCGAGGGGAAAAAACGGCCCAGTAGACACTATCACGAAAATAATCCCTGGAGAAGGGGAACAAACCCAAGCAGCACAGAGTTGGCCAAGCCAATGGTCCTTTGGCCAGTGACCAGACAGCGGCCAGAGATTGGCCGATGACTGGCCTTTCCCTGGCCATTGGCCAATGTCCACTGCACTGTTAGCAAGTCCCGTGTATTTGGTGAATGTTTGGGGTGAAAAACACGCTATTTACACACATTACCATAAATTTACACGATGAGTAACGGATAATACGTTCAGAAATCATGCGAGGTTGTAAAAAACGTGTTTTGGTTCGGTCATACACGCATAACCGTGTAACCGACCTCGATAACACGCACCGCCCCCGGCGACGACCGCGGCATTGCCGGCTATCGAAGCACCGGAATGCTTCGGGACACACTTAGAAAGGACCGTCGAGACAAATGCCGCGGAAAGAAACATGTCTCGAGACAGATATGCACCAAAAGCAATTACGCCATGTCGCGGGACGTTGGCGAAACCCGCGCTTACCGTGCTCGCCGCCATTTTTCGGTCGATGGCAATACGGCTTCCCTCATGTCGCCCATGTTTGCATTTATTTAGGAGTCTTGATAATAGTTTCTTACACACCACAAATAAAGGCGTGGGTCTAAATATTCGTCAAAAACAGTTAAAATTGATATAAAAAGCGTGTCTTCGATGTGAACACGTGACATTGAGGTGGTTTCGTTTTTGCTTCAACCTTCAACTGCAAGCGACCTGGCCACGGCGCAAGCGCAACGCCGTTGTATGGTGGAAGCAAGAGCCGGTTGGCTTTCGTTCTTTTTGTTTGACCGGAGAAAATCTGGCAACTACGCATGGCGCCGCTATTGTTTTGGTTTGACGGGACTCGAGAAGCTTCGCGTAGAGCTGGTAGAGCTTCGCAGTTTGCGAGCACATAGTGAAGACTTGACCGGAGAAGTGCCCCTGTGATGTTCCCGGAAGACGGAAAGTACCATTCGTCGTGTGTGCTTTGAAAGCGAAGGGAGTCACAGGTTTCACGAGTGCGCAACCACAAGCCAAGGTTCACGACAGCGCTGCGTTGACTTCGGCGATCTCGTTCTGTTTGGGACAACACGGCAATGCGAGAAAGAGCCGAAACGTTCGTGGTGTGTGGTGAGGTGCTTGGAGGTAGAAACTCGCACTAACACGGAGCTCATATTGGTTGTTGTGGGGTTGCGTTTGACGGGTTCAGCCCCGTCGTCGTCAGCTGATCCGGTCCAGCTGGTCCGGGGGGACGCAGCGAGCGTTTTTAAAAGTAAATCTTCCTTCGTTCTGTTTCAAAATGTAGAAGATTCCCGACGCATACCGTGAGTAAAATGCTGCGGGCGTTTTCAACAAAATTACGTCGTTTTAATTGAGCAAGAGACTTTGGATAGTTGTCCTAACTCTGCCGTTTTTATGCTTCGTGTCGTTGGACTGCATTTGCACAGCGGCGTGTTCGCACAGCGACGCACACCGCTCGAGTAGATGATTCGGTCCCGCAAACGACCGGTTATACCGAATTTCAGGGAAACTTACACCAATGTTTTCCTGTGAATCTCGTGTGACTCGTGTGAGTTTGTTGCGCTCATCATGCGGTGTGAATAAATTAGGGCAAGATTTTCTACCTGCCCACAGATGCATGAACTGAGACCAATG